CCAACCGGTGAGCCCTGCGGTGAGGACCCTGCCTCAGTTTCCCCATGAGGACACAGCAACCATCAGCAACAGCCCCCCTTTCCTCCTCCCCATTGCTTTCTGCTTCGTTTTCCCTTTCCCCTGCCTATTGTCCGTGCCCTCTCCCACTGGGGCGCGCCGGGGCCAGTGCTCCCGGTGCTCCCGGTGCTCCCGGTGCTCCCGGTGCTCGCGGTGCTCGCGGTGCTCCCGGGGCCAGGCCGTGCCACACCGGCTCTGTGCCTTTAAGCGCGGCACCGCGGCTGTCCCGGATCAGCCCGAGCGCCTATTAAAATTTTATGCGAAGTGTAAATGGGCCAAGTCTCCAGCTTCCCGCTCCCTCCGAATGATTTATTACTCGCAAATACCACAGAACTAATTAGTATAGTAATTAATTAATACGAATTTGCATATTTGCATGTGCAATTAGTGCAGTGGAGTGATTACTCTGAAAATGAGAAGTTGGGCTTGTCAGATGGTAGTGTGAACTGGAGTGGAAAAGCCTCGTGCAAATGAACCTGGGCGGCGATGGTGGCGATGGTGGCGATGGTGGCGACGGTGGGCACGCGGCGGCACGCGGTGCCTGCGGCCCCCGGAGGGTGCGAGGCCCCACACATGGGGGGCTCAGCCCCAGGGACCCCCATCAGCCCTGGCCTGGCCCTGGTCCCCACCATAGGGACCAGCTCCATCCCTCGGCCATCTCCATGGCGACTCGCTGTGCCAGGCGCATCGCCATGGCAACGGGCTGGGCCACGCATCCTCGCCATGGCGACTGTCGTCATTGGCGCCCTGTCACCATGGAGACTCCCCCCTCCTGCTCCCCAAATCCTCTCCATGCCCCTCTTTCCCCATCGATGGCGCAGGGTGCTGATGAGCCCCAAAGTCACTCGGGATGCGGGATGGGGGTCCTCAATATCCCCAGGGCACCCTGAGATAGGGGCAAGGACCCCAGGGTGCTGGGTGATGAGGGTCCCCCATTGCCATGGGGCTGGCAGGACGAGCTGAGCCCCACGCTGAGCCCCACACCGAGCCCCACACCGAGCCCCATGACGGCAGCACCCGGCTGGATCAGGTCCCCAGGACCAGTGGCCCAAGGCCTGCTCAGGATGGGGGTCCAGCACCCCCAGCCCCACAATCTGAATCCTGCCCTTCGCCTTTGTCACCGGCGCCCCTCCAGCAGCCCCTCGCCCGTGGCCTCGTGCCCACCTGCCCTGCTGAGGCCTGATGCCACTCAGTGCATCCCTGCGAGGGTTTGGGGACACCAACACGATGGAGGCAGCCCCCCCCCCCCCACTGATCCCCCCACATCCCCCCCCCACATCCCCCCCACAATGTGCCATCTGCCGCGGGGGGGCCGGTGCCAGTCGTGCTCCTTCAGTCACACCGTGCCCACGCCGGCGGCACCGTGGGGCTGTAAACCCACCCCTGCTCCCCCATTGACCCGGCCTGGGTGGGGATGCTGCGCTCACACTGGGGCTCCTGAGGCCTTGTGATGTCACAGGGCAGCGGTTGTGATGTCATAGCCCGCTGTGACCTCACCGTTGGGGCCTTGTTACCTCACCAGCAGCCAGTTGTGCTGGTGGCACAATGGTGACCTCCCCCCCCACCCCATTGCAGCCCCTCCATTGTCCCCAAGGAGCACCTGCCCCTGGCAGGGTGACCCCTGGGTGCTGAAGGAGCAGGAGGGGAGATGCACAAGCGCCCTGGGGCCATCCCTGTGCCCTCACCGGGACCCTCCATCCCCAGCCCCACGCCGGAGCCCGGTGGGCGATGGCTCCAGCAGTTTCCCACTGAACAATTCCCCATCTAATTTATCCGATGAACAGCTCGTGCCTTAAAACCCGCTTGGCCAGGCCTCGGTTCTAGGGGCAGGGGTTGATGCTCCTTCCCCTCCCTCTGTGCCTCAGTTTCCCTCCACCACCAACCTTCCCCCTGCCACCCCCCCATCCCACCCCATCCCACCCATGACCTCGCTGGTTCCTATTGAAAAGCCCTTTAGGAACCAGCAGGGCACCCACAACCCCATCCCCATCCCACAGAGACCCCCAACCACACCTGGACCCCTGCTCACCAGGGATGAGTCCTATGGGGGGGGGTGGTGGTGGTGGTGGTGGGGGGGGTGATGCTCCATGGACAGGGATGGGGACGGCCTCAGCTCCCGCTCCCTCCGCTCTCCTCCCCTCGCTGCCATTCCCGGCGGTGGCTCCGCCGCACGTTCTCGCATCCATCTCTCCCCAGCTTTCACCTCCCAGAAATATTGCAGCGCGGAGCCGGCTCCATCTGGCACCGCGGCCCCCGCCTCCCCCCCGCCGCCGCTCGCACCGCACTCGGGCCCTGCACGGCTCAGACCCGCCGCGGGGAGGGGGGAACGGGGACCGCACGGTGCGGGGGGACGGGACGGGATCCGGAGCGGGTGCTCCCAGTCCCACGGCCGCGGTGCGGGGCTCTGGGCTCACCCCGGGGATGTGGTCCCCATGCGGGGGGTGCCCAGCGGGGTCCCAGCACCCTGCTCCTGTCCGTCCGGATGCTACGTGTCCACCACCCCCCCCCCCCCGCCCGGCACCCACCTCCTGGATGGAGCTGTTCCAGGCAGGATCCCCATCCCCATTCGTCCATCGCCTTCCTGCTGGAGGGAGGGGAAGGAGCACGGAGGATGAGTTTTGGAGGAGGAAAGAGCTTCCTGCACCAGCCAAACGCCGGGCAGCGAGACCCAGGGGACCTGGCTGGGGTGGGCAGAGTCCAGAGGCGGCGGTGCCGGGAAAGCCGGTTCCTGGACATGGGAACCAGCAGCAGGATGGGGACCGGAGCCCCAGGGTCACCCAGCCCCGACCTCCTGGAGCAGGAGGGCCCCCCCGACCTTCCCCTGCACCCAAAGCATCAGCCGCCATCCCTGCTGCCCTCATCCTGGGTTCACCCCAACCTCACTGCCCCATTGAATGGGACCCCCATTCCTCACCCGGGCTGAACCCGCCTCCCAAAAGCACCCAGACACCAGGATGGGGCTGGTGCCATCACCAGCCACGGCTGAGGGAATGGCACAGGGATGGCACCGAGCGCCCCACTCCTGCCCACCCCGCGGGCTGTGTCCCGGCACAAGGCTCTGGTTTGGGTTTCCATCTCCCCCCCTCTCCCCTTTCATCTCCTCTCCCCGTTTCATGTCTCCACTTTCTTCTCCCTCCAAGCGCTGTGAATGCTGATGAGCCTCACACCGGCGCCCACCCTCACCGCTCTGCTCCCCGGCTGCTAATTAGGCTGGAATGGATGCACTGGGCCAGGGGGTTGTGGCTTCCCCTTGTCCCCATCCCTGTCCCCGCAGAGGCCAGCACAGGCATTTCAGCCTGGGGCAGCCCCATGTACCAGGAACCGTGGCACCATCAGCTTGGCTGCACTGATGCCAGGGTGCAGCCATGCCAGGGGAAGCCGAGGGCAGCGTGGTAGGGACTTACCCAGAGTGGTACCCGTCACTGGTGGACACCGGCTGGGCTCCTGGGGCACGGCGATGCCCACCTGGCACCCGGCAGCCAAATGAAGATGGCAACAACAGCGGGAGGTGATCAGGGCTGCGATGTGCAGGGAGGGTGCTCAGGTTTTGGTGCCCTGGCACGGCACCGGCACCGGCACCGGCATGGCTGGGGTGGGCTCTGCCTCCCCACAGGCCGGCTCCAGCTCCAGTGCCATCTGCTCGGCCGCAGCCATGAGTGACAGGAGGGTTTTGGGGGGGGACGCCAGTGGAGGCCCCTCTGTCACGTGCCAGCACCGGCACCTGCACTGGGGGAGTGGGTGATGCCGACGCCGCTGGCACACACCCGGCACCGCCAGCCCTTTGTCTGCACGTGGGCACGGCCCTGGACGCCACCGACACCGCGGGCACCATGACCACGCCATGGCTGTGCCACCCTCGCCTGCAGTGCATGGCCGGCACGTGCCACGTGGCACCCGCTGCCCTGGGTCCTGCTTCCCTGGGCTTGTGGGGACAGAGGGATCCAGGACACGGAGACATCCCGCAGCCAGGAGCAGGGCACCGGGTGATGGGATCCAGCTCTCAGGGACACAACACACCCGTAAGGGGTTCCTTGGCCCTGGTGCTGCGCACCGAAACAGCAGTGGTGATTTCTGGTTGCGCACACGCCGCGGTGGGGACAGACTGGGAGGCCAGGGGGTGACAGGGCACTGCCAGGCTGGTGAGGAGGCACCCAGCACACAAAGGCCTCACCGGCTGCACCATGGCATGGCCAGGCCTCCACCATGGCCACCGCGAGACCTGTGTCAATGGGGGGCACGGGCACCGTGCGCATCGGGGAGGCCGTGCTTGTGCAAGTGTGTGCACGTGTGCACGTGTTTGTGTGCGCACGGAGGAGCGTGATGGAGGTCTGTGCCGTGGGGCTGCAGGGAGAGGCTGGCACGACCATGCGGCCGAGGGGATGTAGGGCAGCAGGCAGAGGCTGTGTGCCACCCACCAGTCTGGTGACCCATAGCCCCGCACCTACCAGCGCTGCCCACACCCGCACCCACAGCCCCCTTCCTGCACCGCACCGGGCACGGCCACCACCACCGCCACGTCCCCATCCACAGCCTCCTGCCCGCACCAGGCCCTCACCACCGCAGCCATCCCCGGCTCGGCTGGTGGCTGAGGGTGGGGATGGAGCCGCAGATGCCAGCTCCCACCGAGGGTCCCCACGGCGGCTCCCCCCTCGCCCCGGTGTCCGCCGGCTGCCCCTAACACGCTCGGGATAGCCGGTTTCCCCACCGCCCTGGTGCTGGCTCCATTGTTCCTGCCGGCCCCGCCATCGCCTGCATCTCGCCCGGGTCCCATTTTGCAGCGTGTAGGCAGAGCTGGAGATTTGGAAAAGGGTTTTTTTTTTTTGTTTTTTTTTTTTTTTTTCTTTTCCCTTTTCCCTGGGTTTTTTTTTTGGAGTACAGAGTGACAGATGGCGAGTCCTCCTTCCCCAGAGAGACAAATCTCCCTGAATGCAAGCGCATGTCAATCATTAGCTCTCATGTGATAGCTCTCGCGCATGACGTGCCAACCATATGGCACTGGCAGCAGAGCTGGTACCCCCTTTGCTGGGTAGAGATGCCACTCTCGCCTCCTTTTGGATAGAGGACTGCAGGAGGCTGGAGCACCTCAAGGAGCCGCGTCCCGGTCCCAGAAGATGCTGGGAACAATGAAATAAGAATTCCTGCGGTCCGCCCGAAGGTGAGTTATGTAAAGAAGTGGAGGGCTGGGAGGGCAGCGGAGGAAACTTGAATGGAGAAAAGGCAACTTCCATGTTGATTTGGTTTCTCCGCCGCGTCTCGCCCTTTTTTCACCCGGCTTTCGTTCTCCCCCGGCCCTCGCTTCTCCCGTTCCCCACCGATGGGGTTTTCCCTCTCCCCCCGGGAGCGACCTCCCCCCCCCCCCTTAGGGAGGGGTTGTTGGGGTTTGGGGTTCGCCGCCCCCCACCCCGCTTTCACCCCCCCCCACCCGCGGCTGGGCGCGCCCGGGGCGGCGCGGTCCCGGCGGGACGGAGCGGGCAGCGTTGGCCGAGCGGCATCAACGAAATCAGCGCGGAGCCGCCGCGCCGCCGCCCCCGGGGGCTCCGACCTGGCCGAGCCCCCCCTCCCCGCTCCCCCGCCAAGCCCCCGGCCCCCGCCCCGGGCGGTGCCCTCCCCCCCACCCCGGCCCCGGCCCCGCCGCCCCGGCCGGCACCGGGGGCGGCCCCGGTAGCGCCGCCGCCCGGGACCCCCCGCGCTGCCCCCGGGAAGAAAGGGAGGGGGGGGCTCGGCCGCCGCCGCCCCCGCCGCCCCCCGCCGGTTGATGCCGCCGCATTTCCCGGGCCGCGCTCCGGTGGCCGGGGAGCCCCGGGGCTACGGGGCCCCGGGCGGGGCTGACGGGGCTGGAGAGGGGGGGGGGGGGGCAATGGGGGGCAGAGGGGAGGGGGCGGCAGCGGCTGCGCCTCGACCCCCCCCCGGCCCCGGACGTCGGTGGCGGAGCCGCGGCTGAGGCCGCTCCGCGGCCGCGGAGGGGAAAAGTTGGAGGCGTCAAAGAGGGGCCGGTGGCACCGGGCCCGGGCCGCGGACCACCGGGGCGAGGTGCGGGAGGGGGCAGCGACAGGGTCGAGGCCGGGTGGGGGCCGCCGCGGCGGGCGCAGGAGCGGGGCAGCCGGGCGGCGGCCGAGGGGAGCCCGGAGGAGGGTGGAAGCGGTGTCGGGGGGGGCCGCACGGCCGAGCCCCGAGGGAGTCCCGGTGCCCCGGTGCGGGTCGGCCGGTGCGGGAGGCGGCGGCGGGCGGCCCCGCGCTTCATTCGTTATCGGCGGCCGGGGAGCGGCGGGGATGGGGATGGGGATTGGGGGGGGGGGGGGCGGGTGGGTGGGGGGCCGGGGTGGGGGGCGGCGGGCAGCCGGTAACGCCTGGCTCTTTGCCCCCGTTGCAGCCACGATGCTGACGCGACTTTTCAGCGAGCCCAGCCTGGTCCCCGAGGTCCCGAAATTCGGCGGCTGGGCCGAGGAGTGCGAGGACGATGCCCGCAGCGAGAAGGAGGAGCGGGCGGGGAAGGGCTGCGTCCTCCCCGAGGAGCCGCCCGAGGGGGAGAGCAAGGAGGAAGGGGAGCTAGGCGGGGACGAGGAGGAGGAGGAGGAGGAGGAGGAAGGTTTGGAGGAGGCGGAGGGCGAGCGGCCCAAGAAGCGCGGCCCCAAGAAGCGCAAGATGACCAAGGCGCGTCTGGAACGCTCCAAGCTGCGGCGGCAGAAGGCGAACGCTCGGGAGAGGAACCGAATGCACGACCTGAACGCGGCCCTGGACAACCTGCGGAAGGTTGTGCCCTGCTACTCCAAAACCCAAAAGCTCTCCAAAATCGAGACCCTCCGCTTAGCCAAGAACTACATCTGGGCTCTGTCTGAGATCCTTCGCTCGGGCAAGCGGCCCGACCTGGTCTCCTACGTGCAGACTCTGTGCAAGGGGCTCTCGCAACCCACCACCAACCTGGTGGCCGGGTGCCTGCAGCTCAATTCCCGCAACTTCCTAACGGAGCAGGGCCCCGAGGGCGGCCGGTTCCACGGCCCCAGCGCCTCCTTCGCCGTGCACCCTTACCCTTACCCCTGCTCGCGGCTGGCCGCGGCGCAGTGCCCGCCCGCCGCCGGTCCCGGTGCCCACGGGCTGCGGACACACGGCTACTGCGCCTCCGCCTATGAAAGCCTCTACGGGAACGCGTCCCCCGACTACAACAGCTCGGAGTACGACGGCGGGCTCAGCCCCCCGCTCTGCATCAACGGCAACTTCTCCCTCAAGCAGGACTCTTCCTCCCCCGACCACGAGAAAAGCTACCACTACTCTATGCACTACTCGGCGCTGCCCGGCTCCCGGCCCGCCGGCCACAACCTGGTCTTCGGCTCCACGGGGGTACGCGGGGGGGTCCACTCCGAGAACATCTTCCCCTACGACATGCACCTCCCGCACGAGCGGGGCCCCATGTACGAGGAGCTCAACGCCTTCTTCCACAACTGACCCCCAACCCCCCCCGGTGATAGCGGGGAACCAACCCACCCCCCCCGGAATGATTTGGGGGGGGGGGGGGGCGGGTAGGAGGCAACGGCGGCGGCCCCCGCGGAGCGGCCCCCGGGGCTCCTCCGTGGGCTTTGGTGCAATACGGGGACCGGGACCCCGCGCCCCGCGGGGACAAAGTGCTTTTTTGGGAGGATTTCCCCTTTTCCTTCTATTCTTGCTCTTATCTACCCGTTAGTTACATGATCAGTGTTATTTATTGAGTCAAACTACCACTAGCCAGTCAGTTCAGTAATTATTGAGTTAGTGAGCGACTTCTTTATTCAGGTAAATCCTTTTTGATTTCAAGAATTCAGTTAAATTACTATTTATTACGTTGAATTCTTACTTACTAAGTTAATGAATTAACAAGTTAAATTATTATTTCTTAAGTTAAATTATTATTTCTTAACTCGAAGAATTTTTTCTTTGCTTAAATGGCTATTTATTTGGTCATATTATGATTTACTTGATTTATTATTTACGTAGTTAAACGATTACATTTATTATTATTATTACTATTATTATTACTATTATTATTGCTATTATTATTATTATTAATTTCCCGGAGGGGAGGCCCCCAGCGCTGCCCCGGCCTCCCCCGTTCACCCTCCGGAGCCCCCCCGGGCTCCCCCCTTCGGCCCTTTGGCTCGAGCCGCGTCGTTTCCTTCTGAATTCGTTTTCATTTCATTTGAGCTCGATCTTTTTCCTCCCTTTTCCCCCTCATTTTGGGCCGTTCTCCCCCCCCTCCTCCACTGCCGCCACCCCCCCCCCGCCCCTAAAACACAACACACACATTACCCCCCCCCCCCCCCCGGTATTGGACACCCGCGGGAGCGAGAGGAGCCGCGCTGCGGCGCGGAGCGCAACTTTCCGAAGCAATAAAGAGGCGAAGGGAGGAACCCACATTTCTATCTATGCAAGCGGGCCCGGCCCGGCGGACGCTCAGAGATGCACTTTGCTTTGGGGGGGCCCCGGCCCCGCTCCCCACCCCGGGAGCTCCTCTCGCAGCGCGTGTGTCAGGACGTTTTCTACCTGTTTTCAAAAACTTGAAACGGAAAATGACAAAAAAAAAAAAAAAGGAAAAAAAAAAAACTAAAAAAAAAAGAGGAAAAGACAAAAAAAAATGGGGAAAAAAAAAGAGGAAAAATAATAATAATCATCATGAAAAAAAAATGAAGCGACACCCCCCCCCCAGCCCCGCGGAGCACCCCGGTTCTATGCAAGCGGGGCTCCGGGAGGGGAGGGGGGAAGCGGGACTGAGCCCTCCCCCCCCCACCTCCGCGGCACCCGCCCCGGCTCCGTGTTTCGCTCCGCTCCAGTTTGCCGCATTCCTCCGGTTGGAGCGACCGGAAGGCCGAGAAACGGCTTTGATTTTCCTTCTTTCTTTCTTTTTTTTGTCTTCTTTTATCGATCTTGGTTTTTTTTTTGGGGGGGGGTGGTTTTCTTATTGGACCCTACCCGCACCCCCTTCGAGAAACCAGCATTTAATAGAGCCCAGGGAGGAGGAGGAGGAGGATTTCTGAGAAAACGTTTTCGAAACGAAAAAAAAAAACGGAAAAGAAAACGGAAAAAAAAAAGAGAAAAATCTGAAAACCAAAAAAAAAAACAAAAAGTTTTGCAAAAAAAGAAAAAAAGGGAAAAAAAAGAAACAAAAAAAGAAAAGCAAAACGAACCCACCACAAACCGTGTAGCAAAGGGGACCCGCCTGCCCGACACCAGAAGTGCTTTCGTGTTTCTGTTCCGTTTCATTCGATTAATAAATATTTATGGCCAACGATATGCAAGACACCCCCCCAACCCCCGCGCCGGGAGCCGCGGACACTGCCGGGGAACCGGGGACCGGGCTGTGGGGGGGGCCCGGCCTTTCTGCATGCACCGGCCCCACCGCAGCCCGGTCCTCGCCGGGGCGGCCCCGCCAGGACTCTCCGGCCGTAACGAGCCCGCCTCCGCCGGGGCGATTCGCGGCGAACCCTGTAATTACCGAGCGTCCTTCGACGGCGATTAATAAATACTCAATGTTAACTCCGCCGCCTTCGCCGCTTTCCTTCCTCACCGGGCACCGGGGGCACCGGCCCGACCCCCTCCGCCGTGCCCCCGGTGCCTCCGCCGCTCCCACCGCCCCGAGTGCGCGGCCGTCGGTGGGGCGGCGCTGATATAACGCGGCGCTGCCCCATGGGTGTCCCCCCCCGGGACCGGGGGAGGCGGTGTCCCGTCCCCCCCACCACCTCCCCGCCAACAAAGGCACCGGGATCTGGAGCCGCGGCCCGGCTCGGTCCCGGTCCGCAGCCAGCGGCCGTGACACGGCTCCGGTCCCCCGGGAGATGGAGCTTGGAGAGTGATGCCCGGAGCTGGCACCGGGCCGCGGTGCTGGTGGCTTCGGCGGCGGCGGCGGCGGCCAAGGCCGGGTTCTTCTGTGGCGGCCCCGGTACCTGGTCGGCTCCCGGTGCCGGTGCCCGATGGAGCCCCGAGGGAACCCCGCTGCGGTGCCAGGTCCCGGTGCCGGTGCCCGACGGAGCCCGGGCGCGGAGCCGGTGCCCGGTGCGGAGCTGTCCGCTGCGGCGGTGCTGAACGAGTGCCTGGGCCCCGCCGCCTCCCCAGCTCCGTTTACCGTGCGTGCCACCGGGGCTCATCACCCCCCGACGGCCCCGCTTTCCTCCCGGTCCCACAGACCCGCAGGTTTTGGGGCAGATTTGGGGTCGGGCCGGGACTCGCCTCCAGCGCGGCCAGGCCCGGGGCCGGCACCGCCGGGGCTGGAAACGGGGAACGGCTCCAGTGCGGCCCCGACGTGCTGGGGAAGGGAGAGGCGAGGCACCGGGCCCAGGCAGATGAGCGGGTTCAACCGGCCCCGACCGAGCCGCTGCCCCCGGGGCTCTCCGAGCCCCGAGGACCGGTTCCCGGTGGTCGCCGCTCCCCGTGGAGGAGCGGAGCCTCTTCCGACGGCACCGGGAAGGGCCTCGCTTCTCCGGTGGAACGAGCCCCAAGGCCGTGGCGGGGGCGACGGGCAGGGAGATCGAGGCCCTTCTCCCGTCACCCGCCGGCGGCGGCACCGGGGCCGCGGCCCAGAGCTGCGGCGGCGAAGGGTGGCTGCCCCGGCGGAGGGGAGCGGATGGAGCGAGGGGATGCGGGAACCCGCCCGGTGCTCCGGCATGGCCCCGCAATGCGGCCCCGCGCTCGGTGCACGGCCCCGATGCAAAGCTCCGGTGCACGGCTCCGGTACAAGGCTTCGGTGCCCGGTTCCGGTGCTGAGCGGAGGCCGCCAGCGGCTCCCGAGGCGGGAGGTCGGGAGCTGCCGCCGCAACCCACGGGGCTCCGCATAATGGTGGGATCAAAACCCCGTCGGGGCGGGGGGGGGGGGGTGGTGGTGGTGATGTTACCGGGGGACCCCGCACTGCTTGACGGGGGGACGGGAGAGGGGCCAGCAGCGGCGGGGACCCCGCAGAGGCGGCTCTCGGGGCTCAGCGCCGTTATTCCAAGGCAGGATGAGATGGGGGTGGATTCCCCCCCCTTCCAGTTACCCCCAGTGCCCCCGGTGCCCGCGTCCCTTTCCCTCTCCCTGCGCGGAGGAGCGCGGCAGGGGCGCGGGGCCAGCGCCAGCTCCGGGTCGCCGCTGCCACCGGCGAGTGCCAGCCGGAGAGGAGAGGGGGGGGGAAGGAGGAGTCATTGCTTCAGTTTAAATTTCATGGCATCTGTTCATTATTATACAGTGCGGATTTTTATATGGACAGCTAAATTAAAGACAGATTTCTGCCAAAATTGCAGCTACCATAAAAAAACCCGGAGGCTCCCGGCGCTGGGCGATCGCCGGCGCTGCGGAGGAGGCTCCTTTTCGGGGGCTGCCCGGGGGTCGGGGGTAAGGGGTCGGGATGAGGATGGGGGGTGCTGCCCCTGGCTCCGTACCATGGGGACACCGGGATCCCGGCCGGTTGGAGAGGGAAGGGTGAGGGGGGGGGGGGGGGTCCCCGAAGCCGCGGCCGGGGCTGGCAGCGGTCCCCGCCGCACCGGGGGGCTGCCGAGCCGCCCCCTCCCCCGCCCGGCCTGCCAGGCTCCATCGCAGAGGAGTTAAAACAAGGACATCTGTGCCTGGAATCGTTGCGAGGCTCCAAACCTGCCAACGCCTGCTGGCACCGGCCGCCGGCAAAGCCGCTTCTCCGGAATGCGGCACCGCCGGCACCGCCGCCCCGGCCCTCGCATCCCCAGCCCCGCAGCACGGCCCGGAACGGGGGGCTCGGCCCGGATGGGTTGGGGGGGGGGGGGGGGATGCTCAGCCCCCCATGGGGTTGTGGGTGCAGCCCCCCCAAGGCAGTGTCCCCACCGTGTCCCTGTGCTCCGTGGCGTGGCCGTACCTCGGTTGTGTCCTCTCCTGCCCCGTCTTTACCCCCTGCCCCACCGGGGGTTCTGTTCCTATCCCCACAGCCGGGCAGTGGCCGTGGGAGATGCCCTGGGGGTCCCCTAGGACCTAGGATGGGATGGGAGGCGGGCGAGTGGTACCCAGGGGAAGGGGTCACCCAGGGCTGGGGGCATCCGGGATCCCAGAGCCCTTTGGAAAGGGAGGAACCTGTCCCGTGTCCCTCCCCCAGCCCTGCCCAGGGAGAAAAGGGGCAAACCCCACACAGGGGCAGTGGGAAAGGCTGGTTCCAGTGGGAAATGCAGGGCCAGCACTGGCTAGGAGCAGTGGAGAGCAGGTGGTGCCCACCTGAGCACCCTGAGACAGCCCCTTCCCTTCCCTTCCCTTCCCTTCCCTTCCCTTCCCTTCCCTTCCCTTCCCTTCCCTTCCCTTCCCTTCCCTTCCCTTCCCTTCCCTTCCCTTCCCCTTTCCCTGTGACCCCCATCCTGGGCTCCAGCCCCATCCCCGCAGCCCCCCGCAGCCCCGGGCCGGGGGCTCCCCTCTGTGACCCCCTAACTCGGTGCCCCCAGGCCCGGGCCCTGCCTGGGCTCCTTCTCCCCCCGCTCAGTGCCAGGCGGTGGCTCGGTTCATATGGGAAATGTCCATTTTGTTGCTACTTAAAAGCTGATTTACGGCGGCTGCATCCCAGCCCTGCCTTGGCCTGTGTTCATCCCATAATCTGCCCATTTCTCTTGGCAGCTCCGGCTCGACTGGGCTCGCTGGAGGTCTGTGCCGGGCAGCAGGAGCACCAGGCCCCCTCCCGTGGCCCCAGCCCCTGGATCCCATCTGCTTTGGGTGGATCCTGACAGCTCCGAGCACCGGCGATGCCTCTGGTGTGCAGTGGTGGGATGGAGGGGACCCAACACCCCCAAAACACCTGCCTGGGGCCGTGGTGCTGGAGGGGACATGGGAAGGGGATGGGGACATGATACTGCACAGATAGGACCCCCATTCCATCCATCTCTGCTCTGAGATGGGGATGAGGGGATCCATCCACCCATCCACCCACCCATCCATCCATCCATCCATCCATCCATCCATCCATCCATCCATCCATCCATCCATCCATCCATCCGTCCTCTGTGCCCAGGCAGAGCAACCAGAGCAGGGGCACAGTGGCAGGTCCCAGCCCTGTGTCCGCCAGCGGCTTGGAGCATCATCCCGCCTGTCCCATCCCTCCTCTGCCTGCTCCTAATGAAACTGTTCCCGCCTGAAGACGTTCAATGTGATTGAAAGCCAAACCTTTGGAATCATCACACTGACCCAGCATCCGCTTCCCTGGAGTCATTGCAGCCTCTTCCAGGTTAGTGCCGGGCTGGATTGCGCCATAATCCCGGCAAAGCAAACAAGTTCAGAGCAAAAACTAATTACATTTAGAGCAGCTGTGATAATAATCCTAATTCCACCCCATTTGGTGCCTAAAATCCGGTGATCCAGCAGCGAATGGGGGTGGCCGTGACCAGCACCCACGCCTGGGTCACCTCAGAGCTTTGGGGGGTCCCTTTGGCGCTGTGGTCCCACGGGGGGTCCCTGCCTTTGCCCTCCTCATGGCCCTACCCGACCCCATCGCCCCTCACCGGGTGCTGCAGCGGCTCTGCCCCGGTGTCCGGGTGGTGGCACCGTGCCCGGTGTCCCCCCCCTCTCTCCACGGCCTCCTTGGGGACACGGGGAAGGGGGGGATCAGGCGGGCGCAGCTGGCGCCCGTCACCGTAATGGCCACGGCTGGGCTGGCACGGCGGCCCCGCGCCTGCGGGCACCGGGCAGGAGCAGCTTGTGCCTGGTTTGTCCTTCACTAGACCCCCACAAACCCTCACAAACCCCCCCCCCCCCGTGCAGCCGAGGCCTCGCAGCTCATCACACGGCTGGCCCCGGTGATTGGAGCTCAGCACCGGAGGCACCGTAAACCCCAATGTGCCATCGGCCGGGCACGACACCCCGCTGCTTCCCTTAGGGAAAGGAGAAAAGCCACCGTCGGCATCACCCCAACCCCCCTTGATGCTGGTGGGTACCGGTTGGCACCGTCACTGGCAGCAGCGCGGCCGCGGGGGGGTATTTGCATCCTCACGGTTACCTTGGGGAGCGTTTGCCACAAACGTACATTGGGGCTTTTGGTTTCCCTTTTATTCCTTTTATTTAAAGTTGCCAAAAATTTGTGTTAGCTAATGGCTTCTTAATTCTGCCGAAAATGAGGGAAGGAAAATGATGCCATTCATCTTGTATTGGTTTGAAATCGCGGCTGACAACTAATCGATCATACTGTGGGACATTAACTCCTTTGGATGGGGGCCCAAAGCCGCTCTCGCAGCTCCCAGCTCCCGCCCTGGATTCATTTAACTACTTTACTGCTGGTATTTTGGCACGTGCCGCGCCGGCCTGGTTCCTCTCCGGCTACAGCTGGCACCGTGACTGCAGCATCTCCCCCCCCCCCCCCCCCGTGTGCCACCGACGGTGCCCTTCACCCGACCTTCACCCCGTGGCCTAACACCCCCCCCCCCCACACACCTCTTCCTCCATGGGTCCCCCCCATTATGGACGTGGCCGGGATGGGCGAGCACCCAGGGACATCGGTGGGGACAAAGCAGGGATGGGGATGATGGCGGGGGGGGGTTTGCTGCCCCAGAGGCCCGTGCCTCAGTTTCCCCATGTGGAAGGGCTCAGGTTTCGCCCCCCCTCTGCCCCCCCCCCGATGTGGTCACTGGGACAGGCAGGTCCCCATGGGGAGCGGAGGGGCTGGTGGCACCTCAAAGCCATGGGTGAAGGCAAGGTGGCCCCAGCCCCTATGTCCCCTCTGACCCCTGGAGGGGGCCCCACATCGATTCCTGGTGCCAGGGGTGGTGGCCTTGGGCTGTGCCCCCCCTCCCGGGGGGCTGCGGGCACCCCACGGCCGAGCAGGGCCGGATCCTGCCCCCTCCATCCACGGACACGGAGCGAGGACATCGGCGATGGGGCCACGGGAGCGGAGGGGCAGGCGGTTTATATAGGCATGGTGGGCGGGGCCAGGGGAAGAAAGAAGTCTGCCATTGGTCAGCAGCACCAGCCCCGGCAGGCGATTGGCTGGAGGTATGATTGCCGGTTAGGGATTGGCTGAGGGCTGGGAGCGGGGTGGTCCCCGCGTGCCCCGGGTCGGTCTCGGTCACGGCCCATGGCGGGACCCGGCCGGGGGGAGCCAGAACGGAGGCCAAAGGGACAGAGACCCCCCTGGGGACCGGACCACGTGTGTGCGTCCGACCAAACATGTGTGTGCAACCAACCACGTGTGTGCGTCCGACCAAACACGTGTGTGCAACCAACCACGTGTGTGCGTCCAACCAAACACGTGTGTGCAACCAATCACGTGTGTGCGTCCAACCAAACACGTGTGTGTGCGTCTGACCAAACATGTGTGTGTGCGTCCGACCAAACATGTGTGTGTCCAACCAACCACGTGTGTGCGTCCAACCAAACACGTGTGTGCAACCAACCACGTGTGTGCGTCCGACCAAACACGTGTGTGTGCGTCTGACCAAACATGTGTGTGTGCGTCCGACCAAACATGTGTGTGTCCAACCAACCACGTGTGTGCGTCCGACCAAACACGTGTGTGCAACCAACCACGTGTGTGCGTCCGACCAAACATGTGTGTGTCCAACCAACCACGTGTGTGCGTCCGACCAAACATGTGTGTGTCCAACCAACCACGTGTGTGCGTCCAACCAAACATGTGTGTGTGCAACCAACCACGTGTGTGCGTCCGACCAAACATGTGTGTGTGCAACCAACCACGTGTGTGCGTCCAACCAAACATGTGTGTCCAACCAACCACGTGTGTGCGTCCGACCAAACATGTGTGTCCAACCAACCACGTGTGTGCGTCCAACCAAACATGTGTGTCCAACCAACCACGTGTGTGCGTCCGACCAAACATGTGTGTCCAACCAACCACGTGTGTGCGTCCGACCAAACATGTGTGTCCAACCAATCACGTGTGTGCGTCCAACCAAACATGTGTGTCCAACCAACCACGTGTGTGCGTCCGACCAAACATGTGTGTCCAACCAACCACGTGTGTGCGTCCGACCAAACACGTGTGTCCAACCAATCACGTGTGTGCGTCCGACCAACCACGTGTGTCCAACCAACCACGTGTGTGCGTCCGACCAAACATGTGTGTCCAACCAACCACGTGTGTGCGTCCAACCAAACATGTGTGTCCAACCAACCACGTGTGTGCGTCCGACCAAACATGTGTGTCCAACCAATCACGTGTGTGCGTCCGACCAAACATGTGTGTGTGCAACCAACCACGTGTGTGCGTCCGACCAAACACGTGTGTCCAACCAATCACGTGTGTGCGTCCGACCAAACATGTGTGTGTCCAACCAATCACGTGTGTGCGTCCGACCAAACATGTGTGTGTGCAACCAACCACGTGTGTGCGTCTGACCAAACGTTTGAGCGTCTGACCAAACATGTGTGTGCGTCTGACCAAACATGTGTGTGCGTCTGACCAAACGTGTGTGTGCGTCTGACCAAACGTGTGTGTCCAACCAAGCACGTGTGTGCGTCTGACCAAACATGTGTGTGCGTCTGACCAAACATGTGTGTGTCTGACCAAACATGTGTGTGCGTCTGACCAAACATGTGTGTGTCTGACCAAACATGTGTGTGCGTCTGACCAAACGTGTGTGTGCGTCTGACCAAACGTGTGTGTCCAACCAACCACGTGTGTGCTCCGACCAAACATGTGTGCCCAACCAATCACGTGTGTGCGTCCGACCAAACATGTGTGTGTGCAACCAACCACGTGTGTGCATCTGACCAAACATGTGTGCGTCTGACCAAACACGTGTGTGTGCAACCAACCACGTGTGTGCGTCCGACCAAACACGTGTGTCCAACCAATCACGTGTGTGCGTCCGACCAAAACATGTGTGTCCAACCAACCACGTGTGTGCGTCCGACCAAACATGTGTGTGTGCAACCAACCACGTGTGTGCGTCTGACCAAACATGTGTGTGTGTAACCAACCACGTGTGTGCGTCCGACCAAACATGTGTGTCCAACCAATCACGTGTGTGCAACCAACCAAACATGTGTGTGTGCAACCAACCACGTGTGTGCGTCCAACCAAACATGTGTGTGTGCAACCAACCACGTGTGTGCGTCCGACCAAACGTGTGTGTGCAACCAACCACGTGTGTGCGTCTGACCAAACATGTGTGTGTGCAACCAACCACGTGTGTGCGTCTGACCAAACATGTGTGTGTGCAACCAACCACGTGTGTACGTCTGACCAAACATGTGTGTGTGTAACAACCACGTGTGTGCGTCCGACCAAACACGTGTGTGCAACCAACCACGTGTGTGCGTCCGACCAAACATGTGTGTGTGCAACCAACCACGTGTGTGCGTCCAACCAAAACATGTGTGTCCAACCAACCACGTGTGTGCGTCCGACCAAACATGTGTGTGTGCAACCAACCACGTGTGTGCGTCCGACCAAACATGTGTGTGTGCAACCAACCACGTGTGTGCGTCTGACCAAACATGTGTGTGTGTCTGACCAAACATGTGTGTGTGCGTCTGACCAAACGTGTGTGTCCAACCAACCACGTGTGTGCGTCTGACCAAACATGTGTGTGCGTCTGACCAAACACGTATGTCCAACCAACCACGTGTGTGCGTCCGACCAACCACGTGTGTCCAACCAACCACGTGTGTGCGACCAACCACGTGTGTGTGTGACCAACCACGTGTGTGCGACCAAACATGTGTGTGCGACCAACCACGTGTGTGTCCGACCAACCACGTGTGTGCGTCTGTCCACACCACGTGTGTCTGTCCAACCACGTGTGTGCATCTGTCCAACCACGTGTGTGCGTCCGACCAACCATGTGTGTGCATCCGACCAACCACGTGTGTGCGTCCGACCAACCACGTGTGAGCGTCTGACCAACCACGTGTGTGTGCGACCAACCACGTGTGTGCGTCCGACCAACCACGTGTGAGCGTCCGACCAACCACGTGTGTGTGCGACCAACCCCGTGTGTGCGACCAACCACGTGTGTGCGTCCGACCAACCACGTGTGTGTGACCAACCACGTGTGTCCATCTGTCCAACCATGTGTGTCCGTCTGTCTAACCACGTGTGTCTGTCTGTCCAACCATGTGTGCCCGTCTGACCAACCACGCGTGTCCGTCCGACCAACCATGTGTGTGTGTCTGACCAACCACGTGTGTCCATCTGTCCAACCACGTGTGTCCGTCTGACCAACCCCATGTGTCCGTCTGACCAACCACGTGTGTCCGTCTGACCAACCCCGTGTGTCCGTCTGACCAATCACGTGTGTCCGTCTGACCAACCCCGTGTGTCCGTCCAACCAACCACGTGTGTTCGTCTGTCCAACCACGTGTGTCTGACCAACCACGTGTGTCCATCTGTCCAACCACGTGTGTCCGTCTGACCAACCCCATGTGTCCGTCTGACCAACCACGTGTGTCCGGCTGACCAACCCCGTGTGTCCGTCTGACCAATCACGTGTGTCCGTCTGACCAACCCCGTGTGTCCGTCCAACCAACCACGTGTGTTCGTCTGTCCAACCACGTGTGTCTGTCCAACCACGTGTGTCCGTCTGACCAACCCCGTGTGTCCGTCCGACCAACCCCGTGTGTCCGTCCGACCAACCCCGTGTGTCCGTCCCACCAACCCCGTGTGTTCGTCTGTCCAACCACGTGTGTCTGTCCAACCCCGTGTGTCCGTCCGACCAACCACGTGTGTTCGTCTGTCCAACCACGTGTGTCTGTCCAACCACGTGTGTCCGTCTGTCCAACCACATGTGTCCATCTGTCCAACCCCGTGTGTCTGTCCAACCACGTGTGTCTGTCTGTCCAACCACGTGTGTCCGTCTGACCAACCACGTGTGTCCATCTGTCCAACCACGTGTGTCTGTCCAACCACGTGTGTCCGTCTGACCAACCACGTGTGTCCATCTGTCCAACCACGTGTGTCCATCTGACCAACCACGTGTGTCTGACCAACCACGTGTGTCCATCTG